GGAGGAGGAGAGAGAGAGAGAGAGAGACCCTGCCTCTTCTTTTTCACCATTTTGGAGGATTCTCTGTTTTGGCTGGAATCCTTGGGATCAATGGGAACTTTTCACTGAAAGGGGAGGGTCCTAGAGGCTGTGGAAACATAAAGTAGATGAGAAATGCAGAAGAGAGAGGATCCAGCGAGGGCTGCTTCGTTCCTACAAGAACCTCTGCGATTCGTGTCCTTTTCATTTTTAGTATTACCCAGATGCATAAGATTGATGGCATCTGGGCTTCTTTAGGTAGGAAAAGAGCTTGGGCTTAATTGGTTAGCGCTTGATGATTTGCAACTCACCCAAAAAATCTGGGCTTCTTTAGGCTTGAGTTTCACTAGGCACAACCTGGCTTGTATATTATGAGAGGTGGATATGGCTAGAACTGTTATGAGTATGATTACATCTATAGAGATGTCCAAAATCCTAATATAGATTATCTAGATCGCAAAACATTTTACGAACATTTGCTTCTATTACAAATCACTGAAGTTCCCTTGAGTATGGTGGAAAGTGATTATAGCACTTTTGAAAGGATGGCATAATTTTATGAACATGTCATATGAAAGATTTGTTTGAGCACCTATTTTGTGGCATTGATTTTACTTTAGATAATATTTTTGAATTTTGGATGTTGACTTTCTCCATTTGTATTACCAGGTAGTTGAAGCTGCCTTGCTTTCTCGGATACAACAATTAGAGCAGGAACTGATGGATGTGGAACCCCGTGTGAGTATGGGTACACAGTGAGTATATCGAGAAGTTCTACTATACATAGAAGAATAACTTTTATTATATACATAGAAGTTGTGATTGCATCTTGGAGAAAGTGAGAAGTTTTTCTGTTCGTACTTCTGTTATTGGTATGGAGAGGAATCAGTTGTGCTAGAATATATAATTTCATTTTATGCCTTGTAAATTTGTCTTGGGTTCATTTGTTTTGTCGTTTTTACACCCCGGACCTCTTTGAAAAAATATTACTTTTATTTGTGGTAAACTGCTAGTCCTACTGTTTGTCATGTGTTCTTCTCTACATGAATCAGGTCGTAGCATTGCTTGAAGTTCTGCCAAATCGGTTGACAGCTGATGTGCTAGAGCAACTTCGTCTTAGTAAACAAACACTGGTAACTTAAGCATCTGAGATCACTTGTTTGTGTTGCTTTTCCCACTTTTTCAAAATTTTGTAATATGGTGGTTCATCTGTTAATTTGGCAGGTGGAATTGGGTTCTAGAGCAGGAGCTTTGAAACAGATGCTTTTCGATCTTCTTGAAGATCCCGAGGAAATACGGCGCATATGCATCATGGGAAGAAATTGTATATTACGGAAAGGAACTTCAGAAATGGAATGCTCAGTACCCATGGAAAAACATATCGCAGAAGGTGAATATTTCCTACCATAGTCGTTTTATTGTTTGTTTGTTCATGAATTTTCCTTCTGTCCTCAGGTAATTGTTTCTGATACCATCTTGTAAAGGGCTAATTTGTTGTCAAACAATTGTTTTTTTATGTTATCTTTATTACCATCTATACAAGAATCTTTATAATTTCTGGACTAGTCGTGGAAGAGTAACGGAGTCGAACTATTGGATTGTATATCAAAAAGTTGTTGATTTGCTGTTTGTCCCATTTAGTGGAAGATATCACACTCAACATGATTTATGAAGTATTATGCCCTTAACTGTTTTGTAGTTTCCTCTTATTTGTTCAATATTCTTGGAAATTGCTTTCGCTTAATGCTTTTGTTTCCTATTTTGATGCCTGCAGAAGAAGCGGAGGAGATTGAGATGCTTTTGGAAAACTATCTGCAGAGGTCAGGACTCTATTGCCATTTTAAGGTCTACTGGATGCCTATTTCAAGTCAATTGTGTTTTCTGGCTTGAAAATGCAGGCCAAAGTCCATAATTGGAAGTGATAAATAGTTTCAAGCGATTTCTAGAAACTTGTATTAAGACAATGGTAGGGAACAAATTGTTCATGTATAAAACCCAAATTTATGTAAATCCAAATTGTTCATGTATAAAATCATTTATTTTTCTTCTTCTTGATGTTTTAGCAAATCCTATTTATATTAAATAAGCAAATTTTTGTATTGGTAAATTTCTTGGATGCCAATTATAATGGCCAGTATTAATTACTGTTATCCAGATGCGAATCTTGTCATGGTCAAGCCGAGAGACTTCTGGATTCAGCAAAGGAAATGGAAGACTCTATTGCCGTGAACTTAAGGTTGGTGGCCATTTTTCATTGGGCAAAGGTTTCCTTTATGAAAGTAAGTTTCCTTAGAAACTTTGATTGGTGAAGGTTGCAGAGAAAAGAAACCTATTCCCCTTCTTTTAATTGGCAAGCAACCTATGCCCCTTCTTTTAATGGGGCAAAGTACTGGTCAAGGAAACATTGCATGACTGGAAGTTTGAGCATCTTTCATTTGAACTTTTACAATTTCTTCTTTTTATCCCATAAAGTGGTCGACTATACCCATAAGCATAAGACACTTACAAATGAATTCATGCAATGAGTCACTTGAATTCTGAATGATAAATAAATATGTGAAGCACTGTTTTTTCTTTGGTTTTAAATTAGTGTACCGGGACTTAGCCAAGTTACTTGGCCTGTTCGAGTCCCCAAAACACCGGCTTTACTTTCATGACCCACTAGAAAGGGGCGTACAAGAGCGGCTAACCTAAACAAAATGCCATCTTGTGCTTGTTGTAAGAAAGGGGCAGGTTATATATTCTATACTCATCTTTTTTTATCGTTATATATTCTATACTTATCTTTTTATCTTTATTTTTATTTATTTTTACCTCGGGCTAGACTCTTGTGAGTTACTCAGACTCACCTGAGTAACTTGTGTTGGCCAAGGTCTGAGTCATTTTTCAGTACAGTGGTTTAAACTGAACTTTGAGGCGTTGCTTAGGCTTTGAGTAGGTACATTTTATCTTCTTGCACAGTGTGCTTTATTACATCCCTTTGTGATAATGGTAACGTTTGTATAAGGTGCCCACCTTAAACAATCAAAGTAAGTCACAACTCCAAATGTTGTCAAAAAATGCAATTTCGATATTGAAAACTTTTATGATGGCCTCAAAATCCATGTCCATCCCTAATTATAGAATTTAAAATTCCAAAATTGTCCAGATCGAGTACATCTATAAACACTTAAAAATCTTAGAAATGGACGGTCCAGATAATATTTTACAAGATGCACTATTTGTAGGACTTGAAGTCCCTTTTTTTTATATTCAACACCTCGAAGTTGAGATTAACAATTGCCGAGTTTTCTAGTGTTGGAGCAACCTTTTCTAGATAGGTTTTTGAGGTGCACTTCACTTCTATAATACAAGCTTGACACCTTATGAAGACTTTTTCCTTGTGATAAACATCACTTGTTTTGTATTTTATTAGCTGTAATAGTTAAAGGAAAAAGTTTACTTAAGGTTGCAACCTTAAAATGCAGAATTGCAGGTGCACCTCAAAAATCCATCATAAAAGGTTGTTTTGATGATGAAAACCCACTAATTGATAATCTCAACTTCAAGATGTATGAATATGAAAAATAAAAAGATTTCAAATCCGAGAAATAGTGTATCTTGCAACATATTATCTGGACTGTCAATTTTCAAGATTGTCATGTGTTTATAGATCTACTTGATTTGAACTATTTTTAGAGTTTAAAGTTTTATACTTAGAGCTGAAAATAGATTCTCAAGCCATCCCAAGAAATTTTGATACCAAAATTATATTTATAATAAAATTTAGAGGTGCGCCTTAATTGGATTGTTTAAGGTTGCAACCTTATTGAAACCACACCCATAGTTCAATGCTTCCATCTTTCGAAACTGAATAGTGATGTGGTTGCTGGACTCTTTCTATTTCTTGTGCCTTGCAGCTCAAGAAGGCTAGAAGTAAGCAGAGTAGAGTTGCTTCTCCAGGTTGGGGCATTCTGTGTTGCTGTGGGTGCTTTAGTGGCTGGTATAAATGCTTTTCTGTTGTCTCCAAATTTTTTCGGTCTCACCTTTCCGATTAGAAGTTACTTGATTTTTCTATTCATGATAAATGACAAAAACAAGAGGAAAATAAGCATTTATATATATTTTTTATTGCCATTAGTTTTCTGAGCTAGCATTGTCCAAATGCAAAGCACAATATACATATGCTGTTCTGTGTTGTAAATTCAATCGTTGCATATTTTACCATGTCTTCCCTGTTTGAGACAAATCTTATTTGTGTTTATTTCAGGCATATTTGGAATGAATTTGAAGTCATACCTTGAAGAGCATATGGTACGTCCTCACTCCTTAAAATTTCCATCAATGTATGGTCATCTTGAATCATTTATCATCAGAAACAAAGAAAAGATCTTGAACCATTTCGTTTCATTTTCTCGAAAACATACACTTATATAATTGATTAGTTTGTTCAAGTCACATTTATCATGCTCTGCAAATAGCTAAAACACTGGATAGTTTTTGACTGCCTCACTGTTTCATACCCCTCATGAGCCAAGACTCTGATCTGATGGCCCATGCTCTTGTTTGCTTGTGCCCATTATTTACTGATACGATGCTGGTATTTTCAACAGTGGGCATTCTGGTTTACAACAGCTGGAATAGTCATCGGTGGAATGGCTGCATTCTTCATGATGTATTCCTATCTTAGGGCAAAGAAAATCCTTTAGATTTTTTTTTCTTTTCTTTTCTTTCTTTGATTGATAGCTTCATCTCTCTTACAAGGTGGATCCATTTCTTGGAGATGCGATTTGTTTCCATGCGGATGTCTTTTGAGTATGGGCAAATGGAAGTTAGTGGTTGTTAAAAAGTTGGATTCTCCTGTCCCCAGGACTTGTACAGTTTCTAGTATGTGTCGTTTTGGGCTTTCTCCAATATTTTGATATGTACACCACTAAATCCTTATTCATTATAAAATATTTTGTCTATTTCATTTTACAATCAATTGGGCTTCACTCATATATCTATGATTAGGCACGATTATGTGTGATGTGCATGTGTGAGAAGCACATGCTGTACCAGTGTTTAAGTGCATTACGCTTCAGATGAAATTTTAAATTTAAGAATATATAAATCATGGAATAAACATGGATCACACAGAATGATTATTGGTTGATTTATAGAAAGTGGGTATTTCTTTCTCTTGGATTCATTTTCAATTTTTAGAGCCCTTTTAAGTTTTTGAAGATTTCCCTTAGAGATATGTCTGCAGATTTACATAGGTTAGTATCTTTAATATTTGGCATCTCTCTCATATTATCTCTACCTCTACTTTCCCCTTTGATTTGAAGTGTCATATATTTACTTTCATATACTACTAGGGGGAGAATATAACTAGAGATGGTTTTGATTTGAATCAAGAGATGTTTAGTTCCTTAATGAAGAAGATATATTACATTTGAAGAGATAAATTTGATCGATGATGAGAGGCCCGAGCCCTTTCATGCCATACTCAAGCTTGCCGACTATTCCATCTTGAAGTTTTTCTCTTTAAGGTCAATTTCTTGAGCCCTCTCTTGTAATAGGGAGGGTTCTATAGTATTTATAATGTATGCCCTATTTTGAACTATGATTTAATATATGTTCAATAGATAATTAAGGTGAGAAGAATAAATAATGTAAAGGGAAGCTTGAACTCAAGATATATATGTATGTTTGTGGCCTTTGTTGCTTCAGATTAGGAGAATATATAATTGAAAAGAGAAGGATAAGTAATGGAAATAGAAGATTTAAATTTTATAGATATCTGGCATATAATCTCTGTGGTCCCTGGTATGTTGAAGTTTGATGAAAACACCAGCCTGGAGTCCATTTGTTTGTCTTTCGCAATAAATGCTTCATTGTATCTCGGCCATCAAATATTAATCGGATGAGGTTTCGATAAGACCTAGGCTTTATGAAAACAAAATAAAGCCTCACCTCAAATCCTTGTCCAAAAAGCAATTTCGGCAAAGGAAACCTCCATGATGGCTCTTAAATCAATTACTAATGCCAACAATAAAATTTGAAACTGAACAAAATGGTACATATCTTACAGATTTGTGAACATTTATTTTTAGGGCGAAATGGACGGTCTAGATAATTTGTTATAATGTACACTATTTTTAGAGCTTGGAAATCCTTATTTTTTTTCACAACCATAATGTTCAAGTCGAGATGATCGATGTAAGGGTTTTCCAATACTTGTATTGTAATTTGGATGAGTTTAGGTTGAGGATTTACTTTCTTTGATAGAACTGCAGCCCTAAAAAACCAATTTTCATATTAATTTACCCATTTACAGGCCCCCTGAAGTTGAATTTTCTTTTGCTCATTTATTTCTAATCTCTAATCTAAAGTCAAATTTAAAGAGAGGAACTATCAAAGGTAAAAAGTTGGAAGAAAAGTCCTGGATTGTTTCATATTCTTGGGTTAGTAAATTTTGAGGAAGAAAACACTCATAAATGCCATGAATGGATATTAGGAACACAGGGAGGCACCTGTAAATCTTTCGACCTTTGTTCTAGTAATTGTTTATCATCAATAAATAAGATTGGAATGAATGTGAATCGAGAAAGAAAAGGTTCTTGTTTTTTCCTTGTGTAATTGATAGATTAAATGAGAAAGAAAACTTGCAGTCACATATTGGTTCAATTAGGAAGTGATTGAAAGGCAGAAGTAGAAGAAGATAAGGACAAATTAGGAAAACTAGAAAATGACAAACAGAAAGAGAAATAATGGATGTGAGGGGTCCCAGAGGAGGCATGTGGCTTGGAAGCGACAAGGGGGTGTGGAATAACCTTCTTAGAAATTCGTAGCAAATTTTGTTTCATGGAAAAGCAAATGCCAGGCCAAATAGAAAGAGAAATAAGAGAACAAACAACAAGGAAAGAGCATTATTTGTCTCCGTTAGGCCTCTTCTGCTCCCTCACACAGAAGACATACTTGGCACGGTTTTTTTCATTCTAAAATTTTGGCAACCATCAAAGAATTACTACATGATTATTTGGCAACCATCAAAGAATTACTACATGATTATTTTCAAAAGAAAAAATTTAAAATTTGAGTTTTCTAAGAGTTAGATCTCACCATCTAAAAATTGGATGGTCTTCATTCAATATCACGATTTTTTTTTTTTTCCAAGTGCATAGAGGGTGCAATTAATAAATTTTTTATTGAGGTTAATCTATGGGTTGAAGATATTATATCCTCAAATTTGGGTTCCTAAAATTAATTCTAGATAAGTTTCTGCCGAAGGGAGTAAATGGACAGTATGATATCTTTTAGCACAACAAAAAAACCATCTTCTCTTGCAAATAATTTGTTTATAAGTGCTGGAATACAGTATTTAATATTCTTTAATAAAAGCGAAACTAATATAAGCCCTTATTTTATGTGGTGTATTTAAAAAATATTTCATATTATTGGCTTCCTATATTTTTCTGTGTTTTTTGTATTTTTCCAAAATACTTTTAGTTTGGAGCATTGTTTGTAAACCACCCCATCTAACTGGTAACCTCCCGGTTAGATCGGAACCGGCCCCTTGCCAGTTCAGGTTTCGGGCGGTTTTGGTGATCGGCTGGTATTTAAAAAATAAAAATTTAAAAAACGTTTATAAAATATCAAAAATAAGGAATTTGATCTGTAATACGGTTTTTAATATTTTTTACATTATGGTAAATATTAAAAATTATTTTGGTCATCAACACTCACTTTTGAAATCCATTTATTCATTAATTTTCAACTTCATTTGAATGTGTTTTGTTTTAATCATTCTTTATATGCTTTGCATATTTTAGTAGATTCTTTTTTTACACCTTTTTTTTTTGTTTTCAACAATTTTTTGGCCTCCAAGGACTTGCCCGGTTAGAACGGTTGAATCAGCCAGTTTAACGATTAGGCCGGTTAAATCGCTTCTAGCTCCATGTCCGATTAGCCGTTCGGTTCCATTTTGCGAACACTGGTTTGGAACTTGGAGCTCCAAACGGTTTCTTTTTTGCTATATCGAACATGCGCCTTTTTTTGGCAAACAAACCTTCAAGTTGTAAGACAAAAATTAAGTGCTAGTGGATGATCTAGAAAATTTGTTGCAAGATACACTATTTTTAGGACTCGAAATCTTTCTTTCTTTTCATATTCATACATCTCGATGTCAAGATGATCAATTAGAGGATTTTTCAGCATCAAATTGTCAAAAGAAAGTATATATGGTTTACCAGGTCAATATGGAATGTGTATATTGTAATCAGAATATATGAGAAGGATATGTACAATATCTTGTATTTTATAATAAATATGGGTATAATATAGATGTCTGTGATTTAGTTCTATTATTATCCTATGTATTTGCTTATTTAAGACAAGCTTGTATATCCATATTGATTAATGGATACTTAATCTTTCCTAGAAACTTGAGACTCTTCACATGGTATCAGAGCCAAATTCATCTTCACTGTGTCCATTCCTGTAAGATCAAGTCTATTCCTTGATCCTGTTTTTTTCCTGTATGATCGAGTCTATTGTTCTGTTACTTGATCATGTCTATTTGTCTGTGAGTTGCTGAATCGATCATGGATATGCATCGAATTCTGTTGGCTCTTCCAAATGTCATTTTGTTTTCTCAATTGACTGGATTATTTTCCTGTATGTGAAGAAGATATGAAGTTTTTATCTATTGCTCAACCCTAGTTGATTCGAGCCTTTTGTTTCTAAGGCTCGCTGATCTGTCGTTGCATGAGCCTACACTGTTATGTTGTTCTTTTGTGCTTGTTGATCAAGTACCAGAAGATCCAACTGCTCATTTTCGCAACTTAGTGTTCAACTCATAGTATCTTGAGTTTGAGGGAGAGTATAAAAGGAAAGTATATATTGTCTACCAGGTTAATATGGAAGGCATATATTGTAATAATTATATATAGAAAGGATAGGTACAATATCTTGCATCTTATAGTAAGTCTGGGTATAGTATAAGTGTCTGTGATTTATTTCTATTGTTGTCATCTATATTTATCTATTTAAGACAAGTTTGTATATTTATGTATATTCATATTGATTAATTGACATTGAGTCTCTTCAGAGAAACCTAAAACTTTTTATAAAAACAACCTTTTATGATGGATTTTTGAGGTGGTCTTTAATTCTGTTGCAACCTCATATAAACATTTTTCAAGAATAAAAAATTCTTGTTAAGGCCTGAGAGAAATAATCAAGGCCCAAAGTGTTCAAGTACCTCAATAGACGGCGAACAACTAACAAGATCTAGAAAGGAGGGAAACCCTAATATAAAATGAAGAGCTAAAAGTCTCGGATAAGTTGTAAGCCTATCAGTTTGGGTAAGGATGTACTTATCCTTTTCTTAATTAGCTAAAAGTGGCAGTAATTTTCATATAGTTTAGGAAGATTGACCTTAAAAAACAATTGAAGGACTTTGGCATTTACCCCAAATAAATGTTGAGAAAATTGGCAAGGCGGGGGGGGGGGGGGGTCCAAATAGTAATTTTTGCTTCGAGTGTTATGCTGAGTTCAAAATATAGGTGGTGTGAAAAATTGGTGCCACAACATGATGTTTTGAGCAATATCGTTGATTTTTTGTTTGAAACACGATTTTTACACTTTAAAAAAAAGTATACAAACATATTAAAAAAACTTCATAGTGATTGAAAAATTAAACGTGGAATTTTTTGTTGGGTAATTCAATAAAGAAAGCAGGCCCTGTTTTTTCAAACAAATTAGGAGTTAGGTTTTTGAAAATGTTAATGGAATGGTGTTAGTGGTCAGAGTGAAAACCAGGTACCTAGAACATGGGGTGATACCATCACAACCCGAGCCCCTTTCCAAAAGGGAATGCATTGTATCATCGATTAGAGCTCAACAATAATAACGTTTGTCCCTCTTTCTAAGGGATTCTGGCATATGTTTTCTTTTGGGTAAGAGAGATGCAGTATCGGTCATGAAGAGGAATTTGCAATCATAAGCATTCCATAAAACAGAAATGAGAAACCAAGTCAACCCAATTCTTGGCATATATTTTCAAAAAGTCTACAGTCATGTGGAAACAAAGACACAAAGAGAGCCGAGGGTACAGTAAACTAAAAACAGAATGCCACAAAGATTTTACATGGTGACTCGAAGTCAAAATGGAGAGAGAGTTATGGGCCTCCTCAGCTTCATTCTATAGAGAGAGAAACCACACCAACCTCTAGCCCCAAAAACACTCGAAATTTACCAATGGGCCCTCAAAAGCTTATTCTATAGAGTGAGAAACCACTCCAAACTCCTAACCAAAATAATAGGAACTTGTAAACAAACAGTTTCTCTCTCTTCACACAAGAGATGTGGCCCTTAAAAACCCTAGCCATGGACAAGGCCATAAGATAGTGCCATTAACAGAACAGCTGCCTCCTCTTCATCTTTTGGGAACACTCTGTGAAACGGTGAGTGCTTGCCCAAGCCAAAGCCTAGGTTGACTTGATCCATTTGAAAGCAGGCACCTTTAGTTTCTGTCTCTACAACCCTCTTTCTAGTCTGGCAATGAGCATAAGACGATATATCAATCCTGGTTCTCTTTGTGTTGGAGTCCCCATCTTGCACTTTCTTTCTCTTCAATAATTTTGGCTTATAAAAAGCTGATGGGTCATCACCATTAGAATCACCAGCTGCTGCCATGGCTCTCCTTGCCTTCCGGTGTCGAATTCCACAAGCATTGCACAGTGACTGCACCATGACAAAACCCGATGATCAGCTCAAATAGAGAAATATAACAATAACCATTGTTCTAGTGATGATGGTGCAAGTATTAGTAGAACTGAGAGAGAACAAACCCCCATGATATTCTCAAATGGACAAAAATATATCATCAACAATTGTCCTAAATGATGGTGATGGTGATAACAGAATTGGTATGATGATAAAACAACCCCCATGATCGAATTAAAGGGCGAAAAAAATTAAGAATCATAGTCTCCATTAAGCTACTGCTAGTAGTTATAGTGCAAGAAAGCTACCTCACATGATCAGATCAAAAGCGTAATAGAACTAAAACCAATGATGATGAGCAGTGAGTTCAAAAGTCCTTGCCTTGGGGCCTTGAGGGCCGCTTCGCCAAAGCGGCGTCTTCGTTGTGTTACAGTCTACGCAGACTCGGCACGAAGAGTTCCTTGATGTCCATGGGGTGGAAGCAGCATCATGATCATCCATGATACTCCTACTACTGCAGCTTAGCTCAGCCATGCATGGATGATGTTGGTTTTGGTGGCCATTATCCTTATAGTGCAACTCTTCTTTGATCGATCCGAGCTCGCCTGACCGATCAATTTCTTGATCCATTCTGAGAGTGTGGATCATGATGCGCCAGAGAGAGAGAGAGAGAGGATTAAACAAATCAAAATTTGTGTGAGTTGAGGGAAAAAATAATGAAAGAGGAAGAGGGGGGAGAAGATAAAAGGGGGAGAGCATGGGAGGCAGGTGATGGGCCAACAGTGCAGAAGGGGCCAGAACAAAGGCAAAGATATGTATGAAGGTTCGAGGATCTTTCTTTCTAGGTTTTACTTGCTTGATATATGATAGGATTATTGCATTATGGTGAGGTTTTAAATGAAAAAAAGGATGGGAAAAGCTACAACAGTGGCTGCCAATCACGTGAACCACAAACGATGAAAGACAAACTCACGGGCAACTGCCCGGGCACATGGACTCCATTCTTCTCTCTCTACCATTGCATCAGTCATAACGTGCCATAAATCTAACCCCACATCTTGCGATTAGGTTCTTGCACTGTGTAATTTGAAGAGTCTAGTAAAAGAGAAATCGCAGGGATTATTCAAAGCATTTGATCTTTTAATTGCTGACTATATGTGTGTGTAATAAATGATATCTTATTATCTACTTAAGAAAAATAAATATCCTCTTAAGAGGGGTGAGGAGTCAAATCTGGCCTTTTTCTAGAGACTGACGTGAATTAAATAATATAACCATTTTGATAAGGAAAAAATTTATATAAGGATGCAACCTTATAATGTAGAACTATGGATGCACCTCAAAAATCCATCGAAAAAGTTGAAAAGCCCTATGATTGATCATCTCGACATCGAGATGTATGACCATCACAAATAAAAAGATTTTAAGTCTCAGAAATAGTGCATTTTACAACATATTATCTACACTGTCCATTTTCAAGATTTTCATATGCTTCTAGATCTACTTGATTTTAACCATTTTTTAAAGTTAAACTTTTATGATTAGATATAAAAATAGATTTTGAGATAATCCTAAAAATATTTTACATCAAAATTATATACCATGATAAAATTTGAAGGTGCACCTTACCTCTACAGCTACGGATGCATCCGTGTGCCAACTGCACCCTTTTGATAAAGGGCACATATATGGTGTGGTTTCATAGGATAGGTAAAGTATCTAGTTGAGAATGGGTTGAGGCCTTCACGGTAGTACCATTAAACCCCGTGATAAAATTTCAAACTCCATTCTTAAGGGCCCAAATACTAATTGATTTACCCTCTTTTTTTTTTTTTGATTCATTCTTACCAAAAGGGTAGGAGCCTAAATCCCCATTGACTTGACCCTTTTGTTTTTAACAAGAAAAAGTATTATTTGTGAAAAATCAACAGAACTTTGATTCATATGGTGAGAGACCAGGGGTGGGGGGAGGGTGTGCTCATGCCATGAGAGTATTTAGTGAGAGACCAAGGGAGATGTTCACATGAATGTGGAAGGTGAAGTAAATTCTGGGGCTCATGGATAAGGCTATATGCATCTCAAATTCAATATTTCCTTAGTATTGCCCAATGCATTCAATGCAAGGGCAGGAATGAGGCAGGAACAGTAATCCATTTCGGCTTTTGAGTGTTTCTGTCTGCCATGCCCTAAGCCTCACAAGGGAACCCCTACTAACTGAAGTTCATCCCCTAATTTAACCCACTCATTCCCCTTTTCAAAGAAAATATCAAGAGGAGTAATGTTATTTTATAGTTTTCATGCGGGAGCATAAGTAACATCTACTACCTCAGTTAAAATAAGGAAAATTCTCCAATCTGAAATTTGAAATCCATTTTAGAATCAAACGGGTATTTTCATAAAAATTAGATATTGAGTTTCTAAAGTCTTAGATCTGACCGTCGAATTGGATGATTTGATTCAATCTTATAACATTAATTTCTCTATGTGGAACACATATAGGATTCTTTTTTTTTTGGTTGATCTCCAAGTTGAGAAGGTTACATCCCGAAAATTTTGAGTCCTAAATATACTTCTAAATAAAACTTGCATTGGAGCAAATCTACACCCGCGAGAGCACATACTCTTTTGGCTGGTTTTAAAAGAGAGAAAACGCAAGCCTCACATTCTTTCATCCAATGACAAACCTTATCTCTCTCTCATCACCCTTAAATCCACCTCTAAAATGATATCTGCTGTTTCCGATCCTAAATGTGTCTACGTGCACGTCTTTTTTATCACTTATACATGACATATTTGTAAGTAATCCAATCTCCATAAAGATCCTAAGGCCCACAATGTTTTGTACCTAATTTGGCATCCAAAACTAAGGCAAATATGTCTTTTCTCAAGGATATGGAAAAAGACTAGACGGGACAATGATTGGAGGCAACATATGCCCATTCCAGTGCCTAATGAGACTTTACATCTTATGGGACCATCAAATTTTTGCTCTCGTAAAGTATGCATCACACATAAATGCTCATGTCCACAGCACTTGAAACCTCTTAAAATTGAGATCTATGTAGACAATTACAGCTGGGCAGCATAGATAACAATCTAACAAGTGAAACCTATTCACCACACAAATGACAGGCGCTAACTTGTGAATAAATATGAGAAAGAAAACACACAGATTTTTTACCTATCGCCATTATAGTTTAATAGGGAAAAAGTTTATATAAGGGTGAAGCCATAAACAATCTAATTAAGGCGTGCCTCAAAAATTTATTAGAACATGTTGTTTTGATGCCCTAAAAGGCCTCAAATCGATCATCTCGACCTCAATATGTATGGACATGAGAAAAAATGGATTTCAAGTCTTGAAAATAGTGAATGTTGTTATGCAGTTTCGAGGCTGTTGATTTGTAAGTGTGTTCATAGATTTGCTTGATCTACACTTTTTTTGAAGCTTTAAATTTTATAATTAGATATAGAGATAAATATTTAGGCCATAACAAAGATTTCCAATACTGAAATAATATATTTCAACACTATATCTTACTTTTATTGCTTAGGGCCTCAGCCTTATACAAACTATACCCGATTGATATATACATGCCATTGGATTGGAGTGGTAAGTAAAAAGGAAAGGTTTCTATGCTTCCCCTACAGCATAGAAGTTCTATCCTCTCCAGCCGTCTAATTTTGATCAAGAGAGCCACTCACTGTTTGATTTTAGAACCGATGTCTCAAAGTATTTTATTTTTAATTTTTTTTATACAAATTGTATGAATATGAACTTTGGTACTTGCCATCTTCTCATTGGGGCGCACCTATAAAAAATATTAAAAATAAATTTTTGATAAAATATAATGATCAAAATACCCCTTGAAACTTTCAGAGGTATTTTGGTCATTTATTTTGGCATCAAAACAATATATTCTAGTGAAATTTTTGATGTAGGTTCTTATTTGATTGTTTAGACCCTCAGCTCTATATAAACTTTTCCCTATCTATAAAGGGTGCTGTTTGCATAGATCCCAGGCTCTAAACAATTAAATTAGAGCCTAACTTCAAATGGTATCGAGAAATGTGCTTTTAATATCGAAAATCTTTGTGATAGCCTTAAAATATATTTTTATATTTAATTATAAAGTTTAAAGCTTCAAAATTAGTATAAATCGACATATCTATGAAAACTTGAAAATCTTGAAATTGACGGTCCAAAAATGTGTTACAAAATACATTATTTCCAAAACTTGCAATCCATTTTTTTTCTTATGTCCATGCATCTTGATGTCTAGATGATCAATTTGAAGATATTTGGGTACCAAAACAACCTC